GACCTGCTGAAGCAGGTCGTGGGCAGTAATTTTTATCTCTATATTGCAACTGCAGTTTTGCAGTGCAAATGTGTGATGTGTTGTGTGATGAACATTATCAGTGAACCAATCCAGTCTAGAAATAACTGCCAAAAAAAGTAATAATGCTCCAGCTGCCATTGTCGGCAAAAGAAATGCTCGCCAAACTATGTATACACTTAAGATAAAATGTGTTTGCCAGAGTTATAGTAGAAATCTGCAGCAGAACTGAAGTGGGTGTCACGTTAGAGTCTGGTGTCCTGACAAGCGGTTTTAATTTTCTTCTTACTGAATTTAAAAGAACTACAATGAGAAATATACAGCAGTGCTGTGAAAAGGACCTAAGGATGAAGAAATACAAAATTTTAGGAAATCCAGTTTGTGTTAGCAGTTCGGGAGCGGCTATATTTTATTTATGAAGCTGTGTTGCCTTCTCCCATCGCTTCCCTTGTGCTGCTTGCTGCTAATGCAAATGTATGCAAGATTAGGCAAATCCTGGTAGCCAGTTGATGAGAAGGCAGAAAAGCCTTGCCAGGAGAGCAATTAGTGTCCTTTTTGTTCCTCTCATTTTATTTGTTATTAGATATTTATTTGTTATTAGATATTTATTTGTTATTAGATATTTTATTTGTTATTAGATATTTTATTTGTTATTAGATATTTGTTATTAGATATTTATTTGTTCCTCTCATTTTATTTGTTATTAGAGAGACATTTGGCAGACAGGTGGATCGTAGGCTGTTCCTGTGCCAACTGTGACTAGTGCAGCAGGCAAGGTGGCATTTTACACTGGAGTGCATCATTAATCAGCTAGAGATCATACAGCAATAACTGGACTTTCAGAAGGGAAATCTTGGGCATTTCTATAATCAAAAGTACTGCTATGTTGTGTCTTCTTCTCCTTAAACTTTCTTGCTTTAAAACGCAAGAAATAGCTTTCAACATTCATAAAGAAATTCTGTTTCTGCTCAGCAGCAGTGCGGAGTGTCATTTGTACCTTCTCGTTTTCTCTAGTTCCTCAAACAGCGCATTTGCTTCCATAATTCCAGCTAGTCGTTCCTGTTTGGTACTGCCCCCCTCACTGTTCTCCGTGTGTTTTGGCTGCTTCAGTGGCCTGGATTGCAAACCAAACCTGTCTGAAAATACAATATAATTTCTCACCCCTGCCTCCCTCACCTTTATTTCTACCTTAATTAGGATCCCAGGTCTTACTTGTTTTGCCACTAAGTGTGTACTACAGATTCACATGTGCTTGCTACATTGCTTATAAGATATCAAGGACACCTTTATATTTCAACCAGACCAGTCACCAAATCTGGTTAACCACATAGACGTGCAGGTTCTTGTGAAGGCAGAGCGCAGGGCAGGAATAAAGGCATGGAGGTGTGGGGAGGGAGCTGAAAGGTTGTCTGCTAGACTATACCGGGACAGGGACAAGTGCAGGTGAGAGGAGCCCTTTAAGCTGTCTTTTGCCAGTGCAGTCTCTGTTTAATACCAGGCACTTCCTTCAAAGATAAATATTTTGGGATTTCAGAATGTACCTACCAGGGAAAGTAAATTGGGAGTGTGATTTATTTATTTATTTTAATCTTAAGTAATCTTCATTTATACTTTATAAATTGAATCAAACTGTTAGGTTTTCAGGTTGACACCTGAGTAAGACTTTTATGTCTTACTCTTGTCCTGCATATGTGCAAGTTCTAAGCTGAATTGGTATTGAAGAGTAAAATCCTATGGCTTCAACAGCTTGGAAACTAAGGAGAAAATACTCAAGTATTGAAGAGATAAGACAAAAGTTTTGATATTATCCAAGTTTACTGCTGCTATCTATTTGAAAGTCAGAGCCTTACCTCATAGTCTAGAATGTCTAGAAGTCTAACTTGGATATTTGAAACAGAATTTTGATCATTTTGCTTTTTCTTTTCTTTTTCTTTTTTTTAACGCCCTTCTTTAATGGAAGATGCCAGCGATGGTGGACGATCCTATAAAACAGTTTTGGATCGCTGGAGGGAGTCACTTCTTTCTTCCACTAGCTTGTCCCAAGTCTTCCTTCATCTGTCTACACTGGATCGAAGTGTCATCTGGTCAAAGTCCATCCTCAATGCTCGCTGTAAAGTGTGTCGAAAGAAAGGTGATGCAGAGAGCATGGTGCTGTGCGATGGCTGCGATCGAGGCTATCATACTTACTGTATCAGACCCAAGCTGAAGGTATCTAAGAAAAATAAGTGCTTCCTTTTCACACAAAACTTCAGTAGTTCTTACGACTTAATTGCATGTTACTAATGCTTGCGTTTTTTTCTTTTGTTTCTAGGTCATTCCTGAAGGAGACTGGTTTTGTCCAGAGTGCCGACCAAAACAGCGCTCTAGACGTCTCTCCTCCAGACAGAGACCTTCTGTGGAAAGTGATGAAGAGACTGCTGAACGACTAGGAGAGGGGGAAAAAGAGGCAAACTATGATGATATGGGACAAAGTGAAGAAGAGCATTATGAAGAAGAGCCAGATGAGGAGGATGAATCTCAAGAGGAAGAAGAGATAAGGTAAATAGACATCCATTAAAGTGGTTTTCTACTGAAATATCATCTTGATTATTAAGGTAGTAACTATTCACATAAGCACATATCTTGAAAATCCAGTCTGAAAAAGACGTTTATTAATAAAAGCAGCAGCTTGTTAGGAGTTCGGCTCTTACAGATGGATTTAATATTAGCAAGTTAGATCCACTGGACTTGGACTCACTTTTCAGGATGAAAATTTCAGCCCTGGTTGTATGGGTGAGAGATGGCCATCAGAGTTGCAGTTCTGTACAGCCACTGTTTGAATATAAAGTGAAAAGAGTTTCAAACAGTAAAGATTTCTTGGAGAAAACCTGGAGCAGTTTTTATCCAGTTTTGACTTTTGGGGGACTAGATGCATACAGTAAGTATTGGAACATTAGGGAAGACAAGGTCATCTATAGGAGGCTATGTTACACATTGGGAGGACATAAGGACTTCTGCAGTAACTGTTCAAAAAAAACCCAAACAACCCCACAAAAACAAATAAACAAAAAACCCCACCAAGAAACCCCCCATCAAAACCAACTAACCAACAAAAACCCTGAACAACTATCTAATCCAGTGTGACAATTTCAATAGTGATGGATTTCATACACATGTCAGGAGTGTAAAAGTTGAAGAAAACTTTCCTGATCTCAGAGTATTTTTCTTCTTTTTGGTACTGTCTTTTGAACTGACTGAAGCAAGATTATTTGCTGCTCTGACAGTTGGGTTTCAATATTTGGAGAGAACAGGCTGAAAGAGTTGGGGCTGTTCAGCCTGGAGAAGAGGAGGCTCCGGGGTGACCTTATAGCGGTCTTCCAGTACCTCAAGGGGGCCTACAGGAAAGATGGGGAGAGGCTATTCAGGAGGGCCAGTTGTGATAGGACAAGGGGTAATGGTTTTAAAATAGAGGGAGGTAGATTCAGATTGGATATTAGGAAAAAATTTTTTACCATGAGGGTTGTAGAACACTGGAACAGGTTGCCCAGAGAGGTGGTGGATGCTCCATCCCTGGAGACGTTCAAGGCCAGGTTGGATGAGGCCCTGAGCAACCTGATCTAGTTGGAGATATCCCTGTTCCTTGCAGGGGGGTTGGACTTAGATGACCGTTGAAGGTCCCTTCCAGCCCTAACCATTCTATGATTCTATGATTCTATGATCTCCTTGAGAAGTAAGTTTCTCTCTGGCATCTTCCTTCTCTCCTGTAATGGAAAGAGAGTTTTGAGTATTAGTTATAAACCCTGACTAGAGCAGAACTTCTATACTTAGTGTTTTAGAACTGCAGTTTATTTATGTAGCTGATAATATTGTCCAAAAATCCTAGTATTTACAGTTGTTGTGAGAAATAAGTGATTTAAAGAAATTGATAGCTGATGTTCCAGTTAATGCATTCGTATTGCACAAGCTGCAAGAGTGATTAGAATTCTGAGCATTTCTTTAACGTATGGGCTCCACGTAGTACTTAAGAGACTTCAGAGAAGTGTTTAAGATAACAGCAATTGGATCACTGCATCGGCTTGAGAGACAGCTGCTTACCAGCCCAACCTTGAATGGTTTGGTTTTTTTAAAAGCTGAATTAGAAAACTGAGGGAAAAGAATGGAATGGAGTTTTGGGATAAATAAACATAATTGTTCACTTTTTGTAGCCCATCAAAGCAAGGAAGACCCCAGGTCAAGTTTCCATTAAAAATGAGAGCAGCCAAACTCAACAATCCGTTCTCAAGTCGGAACAGCCAGCGTCAGCCCAGATCTGCGTCTCGGAGTCAGCAAAATACACCTAAGCAAACTGAACCTTCATCTAAAGTTACCAGAAGGGGCCTAAGAAAGGTAAAATCAGCCCCTTCATCAGTGACAAAGCCGTCTTTAAGACTTAATAGCCGGACCACTCGTCAGAGCCAAAATTCATTACAAGCAGATGTATTCGTGGAATTACTCGGTCCTCGAAGAAGACGAAGAGGAAGAAAGAGTGCTGATAGCACACTGGAAAACAGCCCTTCCAATTCTCTTGGATTTCGAATTGTTGATACTGCAGACTCAAATGAACGGCTTAGGAAGTATCCAGTTTCTGCTTCAAAGCTTTCTCTTCCTGTTACTGAACCCAAGAGAAGAGGCAGGAAACGACAATCCACAGGTTAGAGAAATGTATTTGTCCAGAACGAAAACCGCGCTCTGTTCCTTGCTAAAATATTTGTGTGGTAGAACAGGGAGATTAGAAGTAGTGGTCGAAGGCATTTTTACCACTTCCAACGAGAGAGTTCCCTTATTTTTGCTGTGGCAGAAGTGAACGTTAAAAAAATTTTCAATCATCTAAAGAAGAAATACTTAATTTGCCAGGGAGATTTATCATATCTGTATTTGAAATTTCATCTTTGCACACAATATGGATGAATTGCTAATAAGCGGATAGAAAATGTGAAAGTGATATTTATGCCTTAACCCATGCAAATTCAAATGTTTACTTACAGCTTTTATCGTTTATTTTATTAAAGAGGTAAACGGTGAAGAACACAGATGTAGGCAAGGTAGAGAAATTGAGAATATATATGTACGTCAAGAAATTGATAACAGAAGAAAAATGTCGTCTGTCTGATATAGGCCTAACAGTGTCCTTGCTTGTTAAGTTAATACCAAGTATTTGATGGTAGGGAAATACTTGGAAAGCTACAATAAGCTTTTAAAAACAAAAAGGACCCAGTGTGAGACTGAAGAGGGTAAAAGAGCTTGCACTCCAGTGTGGCAGCCTTGTATTCTGCACCATTTCTGTCCTTCCTCATTGGGAGTTTCTGGGCTTATCCTCTAACCACCCTGCTGACTATTCTTGAAAGCAGATAAAACCACTCTGAATAGAGGTTTTGTGGAAGTAAAAGTTATGAACAGGCAGCTTATTCTGTTTTTCCCTAATAGGGCTTTTCTTTAAGTGTTTAACAAATTGTTTTAAAATTGAAATCAGTGAAAAAATCCTTTCCAAAATTAATGTGATGAAGGAGGAACCCAGCTAAGTCCTGGTACTTAGCATTTTGTATGGCAAGAGAGACATTTAGTGGTTAATAACAAGGCTGTAGTATAGTTAATACCAGAAGCCAACCTACATGAGTTGTGCTGTGAAACTAGTTTTACCCAAGAATAATGGTGTTCGCTTTTTTTTTAAAATCTTACTTGTCAGGTTTTTATTTTTATGTGGTGGGGTGTTGTTCTTTTTCCAGAATCATCTCCTCAGACCTCATTGAACAGGAGAAGTTCAGGACGTCAAGGAGGAGTCCATGAACTCTCAGCTTTTGAACAACTTGTAGTGGAACTGGTACGACATGATGACAGCTGGCCTTTCATGAAACTGGTTTCCAAAATCCAGGTAACTGATAGAACTGTAGGGGGAATTATAATGGTTGAGAATCCTGTTTGCTGGGATTTTATAGCATTGCCCATAGGGGGATAGAGTGAGGAGAACTCTAATATTTCAGCACAAATATTCAGTGCCAGAAACAACTTTTCCAATTGACATGTTATTGGGAAGATTTTAAATATGCTTGCCATCAGGCATTTGAAAATGTGAAATGCTTTGATTTGGAAAACAAACAAATAGAGCGCAGGACTGCTAAAGGTAAGCTTATGGTTATTTATTAGTTGAATTAATCTTCAATTTGTGCAAAGGTATTTTAAGAACAGACCTGCAATAAAATAACAACGTAGGAACAACTTCACTCCGATGTTAACTATAATGCAGTAAAAAGATGATTTCTTAGCTTAGTTCTTCATTTAATTTCCCTGCTATTTAAATTTTAAAATACTTGCTGGTAAAGTAGGTACCCAAAGAAAGCGCTGCTTTAGAGGTTTGCATTACAATAAAAGTTCCCAAAGCTCGTCTGCTTTTCTGCAGGCTGCACTAGCTTGTCAGTTGTAAGGCGCTGCTGGAACTATCCTACCCCTAAGAAAGTGCCTGTCCTCTCTGAGCCCTCTGGAGCAACTCTGCACAGACTTTCTTGCAGGATCTAGAGCTCGGTGTTTAAGTGCTCTATTAAAATTAACAGTGATAGCTGTTAAATGAGGACTTGAAACTCTGAACTCAGAGTCATAGATAGCTGGAAGGATTAATGTATCTGGACAAAAAGAATGGTGTACAAATGTGAATGAAAGATGTTAAGCACAGAGGAGGAGGAGAGGAATTTTGAATGAAACAGAGACTAGTGTCTGCCTACAGGAATTACACTAGAAAGTGCAAGAATCTGGTGAATGCAAGGAAACTTCTTAAGGACGGATGGAGAATTCAACTTAATTTTGATGCTAGAACTCAGTGCGTTCCGGTTTGCCTGAATCAGTCACTAAGGGATAGTCTCTGTATAGTTTGGAGAGAAAAATCCATACTTGAGTGACCCAAATTTTCTTCATCACGAGAGAAATTTTAGGTTAAACTTTTTGCTGCCTTTAAGACAATGTGAAGAATATGTTGAATGATCAGTGCATAGCAAGCTAGAAAATTACCTTTCTTTTTAGTACTTATGTAAACAGCACTCCTAAAGGGAAGGGAATGAAAAACGTGTCAATCTAATTCTATATCTCTAGGTTTGTTTGCAAGTTGCACTTGATATAGTAAAGTTACAGATCATAACCAAGAAATTGGTTTTACATCATACATGATGGTGCATATGGGTATCTGTTCTTGGGGGGGAGGGGGGACGGGGGGAAGAAAGAGGGGAAATAAAAAATAAAAAAGTCAAATTTGGATCAGGTATCTTTTTCCCTTTCATCCCCCTGCCCTGTTTTCTGAGTGAGACAGTCACCCTAAGCTTGGTGCTTTGCTGGAATTCAAAATCTGTGATCCAAATGATCAGTGCCTTTAAGGGTTAGGCAATCCTTTTCCTCCCTTCACTTTTATCACATAAACACTGTTCTGAGCGGCTGTTTATCTCTGGTATGTGCATACTGTGTCCTGCTCACTACACAAAGGTTCACTACCTTCTCTTCAACACAACTAAATGGAATCTCAGGATTTAATTTCTCTTGCAAGACGGTGAATAGTAGTGGAGTAAAAATGGTCATTATTTGTGATTAAGGAGCTTTTAATATTGTAATATGTTACAGGAAAATGAAAAGTTTTAAAGTCTTGGAAATAATTTTTGCCTTTGACAGATGGGAATAGCTGGAACACTGTAATGCTTGTCTGCTCATGCAATTTTCTTAGTTGTTCGCAGGGTATTTAGGATTAAATTTATTCATTGAATTGCTGGGTAATGTTTGTTGTGGTCTGCTACTTCAATGACATAAAAAATTGGAAAAGCAATACCTGAAAACTAATATCAGTTCAGGAAATGGAGATGGTTGATTGGGACTCCTCTGTTTATTTAAAAACAAAACCAAAATATTTTTTGCTAATGCTTGATTTGCTTCATTTTTTACATAGGTAGAATTTTAAGCTTCTATTTGTTTGTCTATGAATCATTCTTTTTTTTTTTAAAGGTACCAGACTACTATGATATCATCAAAAAACCTATTGCCTTAAATATAATCCGTGAAAAAGTGAATAAATGTGAATATAAGTTAGCATGTAAGTATTATTTATTGAAAGATATAATGAACCCTTTTCTCTCTCTTTAAGTCATCCTGAAATAGAGCTGTGTCAGAGGATTAGAAAGCTGAAATTGTTTCGTTTGAGGTCGTGTGGTGGGTTGGGTTTTGTTTTGTTTAAAAGAGCATTTACTAGTATTTTTAAAATAAGATCTATTGAACACAATTCTTTTACTACCAAAATATGTGATGTACAGATAGCTAAGAAATGAGCAGCTGAGAAACTGCTGGTAATTTCTCAAGCCTTTTATGTCAGTGAGTGATGCTGATGAAATATTTAAAAAAGGTACAGTTGTTACAGCTTGATTTGTATTTCTTTTATTGATAATCAGAGAAATTTAAGAATGTGTGCATGGCACTTCACTAATACAATGATGGAAACTTGATACATATGTAAAGACACTTTTTTTGTTGCAACTCTGTGTAGGATCACTGTACTAATCCCATGGTGTCATACTGCCTTATCATACAGTAGCTCTTTGATGGCTTGAGACATGCTAAATTAATTTACTCACTTTTCATTTACTAGCGGAATTCATTGAAGACATTGAGCTGATGTTTTCGAACTGCTTTGAATACAACCCTCGTAACACGAGTGAAGCAAAAGCTGGAACTAGACTTCAAGCTTTCTTCCACATTCAGGCTCAAAAGCTTGGACTTCCAATCACATCTGGTAATGTGGACCACGCCACTCCTGTGGCAAAGAAGTCACGAATCTAACCTCTGCCTTCCAAAGGATTTTTTTGAGGGAATCTGTTATGTTCATTAAAATGAAATGTTAAACCACGCAGTCGTCATATCTGTCTAAAGCAATAACAACTGTTTAACCACCTTGAAGTGTGGCCTGCACTATATTCTCAATGTAATATTAAGCACTCAGGAGAACGTAGGAAAGATTACCTTTGCTACAGTTTTATTCAGTGTCTAATAATTTTGATAGATGTACTGGATACAGTACTGGTTTACAGAGGTTTTGTACATTTTTAATACATTCATGTGTCCAAATATCTTCCAGAAGTACATGGTTTTTACCTGCACCAAATGACCTTGTTTCATCCTCTAGATTTTTGTAGGAGCTGTGGTATTGAGGGCTTTATCAACTCAGATAAAATCTTCTGCTGTAGCACAGTTGAAGAAACTGTGTGTATGTTTGAAACTTGTTTGAGTGTATCTTCTCAACACTACACATGAATGAGTACAACTGCATATCTTTTAAGTACTGTACCAGTGCTGGCTGGAGGTATTCAGTCTGAGTTTATTAAGTAGATATTTATTTAGCATTCAAAGTAATTTGTGAATTTGTTTTGTATTTATAAAATTTGTACTTGGGGGGATTAAAAACAAAAAAAAAGAGAGTTCCATAACTTTTTTTAATTTTTTGCTGGTGAGTTTTTTTGTTTGTTTATTCCCCTCTAACTTGATGATCAATCAATAAATACCTTCCCCTGTCCTTGGCAGTTCTTCTAGCAATGAGTAAATTTACAGGACTGTACTATAAGTTTCTACGTACAGCTTTGGAAGCGTACAAATAAAATGACACATTTTTCAAAGTATTTTGAGCTTCTGGCATTTCCTTTTGAGTTAACTGCTACACCATCTTTCCTGTTAATTTACTGGGACAGGTTGCTGGAGAGAGCACAGCAGAATTTGGTTTCAATGCAAGTACCCCAACCAGCATTTTTGGCAGCTGCAGCCAGGGTGATACCTGGTCTCTAAGTGATGCAAATGTTCATCAGTGTGTAAGGAGTAATGTAAGAAGTATGTGTATAAGTTGTACGGTTGTTAAATTAGGATCTTTATCCTAACAGTGTCAAACCTCATAGCTTCATTTATCTGACCAGCAGCTTCTTTAAACTATCCTTACTATCCTCGATAGTTTTACTTTTAGTTTAATTTAAATTTATTAAACTCAGTTTGAGTCAATAGCTTTAAAACCATTTTGTGCACCTGGGGGTATGCCGTACTCCGAGGAAACAGCATGGAGTGGAAATTTGGAGGTAGGAGTGAAGAGGGTAGGAAAAGCTGAAACGGGAGGCTAGCTGCTGCAGCAACTTTTCTCCCTGCGTTTGTGCTAGCTGACGTCATAGCATTAAGACCCCTGTGTGCCACAGACCCAACCAATTACTTGCTGTGTAGTTGGGGTTTGCTTTGCTGCTGTAGTGCTTACCTTGCCTTAGAGGTGGCAAGAACGGGCGTTCCCTTGAGCCTGGGGAAGGTGATAGACAGGAGACTGATCAGTTTGAAGTGTTGGATTTCTGGGGGTTTTTTCCTTAAAAAAAAAAAAAAAAAAAAAGAAAAAGAGAAGTGGGGGGATATTGTTTAGAAATGTCTGTTAATACTTCAGAGTTTCTGTGCAAGCTTTTCCTTGTTCAGAGCCGACATCTCTCTCCTGTCCAGATCAAAGACAAATTTCTTGTTGCCACCACAAAGTACACTGAATCCCGTAAGGGATATGAGGAGCAGAAGACTTCTTTGCAGGGTGTAGGTTGTACATGATATCCCTGCATCTGTCTAGTCCCAAGAGGACGTGAACATCCTGACTAGCAGGTTGCACAAACAGTTGTGCAAGTTCTTGTTCACATGAATAGTCCCCATTGACTTAAATGTGAATGTTTATTTGGAGGAGGCAGGGAGGAGGCAGGCCCACAGTGAGCTGAATGAGTCTGTCTGTGGCAGATGCAATTTAAATTATTACTGTCCCCAACCTACTGCCAGCTGTTCATTCCTGTCGCTCTTTCTCCAAGGTTGTTTCCTTCAATAACTTCCCTTCAGTAACATAACTAGAATTTTGAGTTTCGGTAGAGCAGGTGGGAACAGTTTAACCCAAATCTCCGCTTGTGACAGTGGTATTTGTGTGCTTGTGCTATGAGCCAAGTTACCAATTTGTCAGTAAGTTTGCAAGACTTGAGGCCTTACTTATACATGCTGAAGGTGAATTGTGGGAAAGTGCCCACTTCTCCTTTGAGCAGCTGTGCTTAAAATACTCATATATGCTGCACACGCAACGCAGATCTGACTGTCCTTGGCTTTCGCGGTGCTCACGGGGCATGAACCAAGCCCTCTATTCTGGCAGCAGGCTGCCTGAGTTGGTACTTTTGTTGCAGCTTTTTCAAACTTCAGCTCTGCTTTTCCAGAGTTAGGTCAAGATGTTTTCTTATGGCTGTTTATTTCCCCCACACTTACCCATTTGAAAAAAGAGGAATTGCTTCATATCTCCCCTCTTGTCTCAAGGGCCAAGATATTCGTGCTCCTTGTCCACCTTTCCTCCAAACCAACCTGTGTCTTAGATGATCACCCATCCCATGTGCTGTTACCACCAGGGTGAGGGATGTGCTGTATCTGCGGAGGGCTCCATGCCAAAGTTTCACAAAGGTGGAGAAACTGGTAGGGTCAATGGCTCCGTCTCAGATTCAGAGGCCCTGACTAATGGGGCTGTACCAGACTCTTCAGGAATCTTTCTTCAACTCCAAGTCTAGCATCTGTCCTCCAAGCAGCATTTTGACAAGATCCAACAGTGAGTATCTTTCCCTTCTTGGTATCTCCAGTATATCTTAGCCCTGGCACATGTCCAGAGATTACTGCTTTACCAGCTGTTTTTCCTGCTGCGCAAATTCTGCCCCTTTAATTCATGTCAGGGCTAGGAATTACTCACTAAATACCCTAGGCAATTTCTTCTGATGCTTTTTGTACATAGCTCTCATAACCATGAGGCCAGTTCCTTTGGAGGAGTTGGGCTCCAACCCAAAGGACTCTCTTCCAGGAAATCTCAGCATTTCTTCCAAGACAACTTGCTCACCTCCCGGCCACCACAGGCTGCTGAAGATGCAAAAGACAAATCCCTACAGTGGTTGCTGTTATTGGAAGCTGCCCTTGCTATCCAAGCAGGACCAGGTCAGAAGGAGAAGGCCTGTTCAAAAGCTGGATGTAGCCTTGCGTGATAGTTGCAGTCAAGCTGATGTTGGCCGACCATGGCGTGAGTGTAACGAAGTTGTGTCATGTCCCTTCACCTGGATGAGGAGGCAGGTGATTGCGTTGACTGGCATATACAGTGTTGGATTCCCCTGCTGGAAGCTTTAACTTCTGGAAACCTTTAATGAATGCTGGAAAGCTTGAGTCGCCTTGGTCTGGCAGACTGTGTGACAGCTGTGAGCCAGCACTCCTTTGTGAAGGATTTGGGCTGGGGCTACCACCTCTGCACCCAGTGTTGCATGGCTCTTCTGTGGACAATGAAGTTTTAAGCATTGCAGGAGAGAGCACATAAATGTTAGTATTAACAGTAAAGGAACATGACCTTAGCATAATCTTAGCAAATATGGGCATTAGAAACCACCAAGCAGCAGCTGAAAACCAGCCTGAACTTCCATGTATAATCATAGGGAGGCAGAGGCTGCTGGACCAGCTGCCTCACCACCAGCCATCTCTGCAACTATCACAGTCCAGAAGTGGAGATTCTGCTATGGACGTGTACAGGGAGCAGATCCCTGAGGACACCAGACCATGTCAGAGTCCTGCCCAATATCACGTTGCTGCTGGACTGGTAATCCAGTACTTTAGGATTTAGGAGATTACATGTGTGGTTTATGATTTTAGAATCATTGATGTAACCACTGAATTAAGCCTCACCCTGCAACAATCTCATATCTTCCAAGCTTTATCTGTTTGTATTCAAATAAATAATATCTAACACCGATCATGTTGCTTAGGGCATCACTGTCAGAACCGGTTGCAACAATTCCAGCTAACCTTTCTTGAGGCTACCAAGGACTCTTTCTACCCTGCAAGAGTCTTCTCACTTTAAAAAAAAATTACAAGTGTCCAGATAGCTGCAGGAAGTTGTCTGTAGGGCATGTGGCTCACCTGCTGTAACTTCAGAGATCTCTCCCCTGCACTGCCAGACTGCCACCTTGATCTTCACAGTGGTGACTTCCCGGTCTCGTTCTGCAGAGGTGCTCCTTGTGCTTTACCCAGCTTGCTGTAAGGGGATATTCTGAGATTTCTCAGCCTGCTGCCATTGAACCAAGCAATGTCTTCTTCCTCCCATCCCTCATCAGCAACCTACTTCCCTTAATTTGGTGCTTCTTTAAACAGCGCTCTATTAAAACTTTGCCTTGAAGTGCTTGATTGTATGTATGTCCTGCATCAGGCCTGTATAACAATGCCTCTTGGAGAATCTCCAGTTACTACTGATAAGAAAGTTTCTCATTTAGGCACACTCAGGTTTGAGGATGTTTGGATTAAGGCTGATGCAAAAGGGAAAATGACTTGTGCTGCAAAAGAAAAGAATTATGAAGACAGATAAGTAAAGCCATCACCTTGTTTCCCATCTGCTTCCTAATAGGGATGCTGGGATAGCACCATCCCTAAACTGTTTCTGTGTGTTTGAGGATGTACGTGTGTATACTTGTGCAAAGTTTTCTACTTTTAATTGCTGTAAGCCACTGACTATTTAAATAATGGTTATCATTCGTGAGTGTTGCACTTCTTTATAGGGTTCATCTCCAGTACCTAGGAAAGCACTGGTAAAACTGTGATTTACTCGGACTATGGGTGGTGCTGGGAGCAAAGCCCGGCTTCCTCCTGCCTCCCCCCGCTCCCCACTAGCCTGAGCTTCAGTGGCAAGGTGCGGCTGGATCTGTGTTTAAACTCAGTTTTATTTTTTAAGTAATCAGACAAAGCTGATCTGCTGGTGGTGAAACACTCCACCCTCGGCCACGCACCTGCAGCTGCATTCTGGCAAACAGATACTTTTCCGGACCAATGCTTTTTAATATTTGGAGTGCGTTAAAATGCTAAAAACATCGATATGAACTACACCTGAAATGTTGTCAGTGGGAGAAGGCCACAGGCTGCCTATGTTTTCCAAAAAGTGCACTGAGGCCAACTTTGGGTTTGTTTCTCTTCCGTAATGTATCCATTTCCTGGGTTTGTAGTGCTTCTGTTCTGGGAAATCACTGAAACTAGTTTTAAATTACTTTCTTTTAGGTGCCACTCCATCTTTAGAATTTTTAACGTATGCAAGAAGAAGGGGAAAAAAAAAATGTTTTCTGGGCCTCCAAACGCAGGAGTGTACCAGCTGTTGCCTTGCAAGAGGCTGTGGGTATGGCCGGAGGTGTTCGGCCCCGAGCGAGAGTCCCTCACCCTCTGCCCAGGAAGGGCCAGCGCTCCGCCTGCGCCGGGCTCATGGTGTGTGTCCAGCTGTTCAGGTCACTCGCTTTTGATGAGAGAAATGTTTGACCGGGCCAAGTTTCCTACAAGGATGTTAGGTGACAGTGCGCTCTCCATAGCGCTGGCTGCTGCCCACGGAAGATCAGCTTTCACCTATTCTTCTCTGCAGTCATCCGCTGTGCCTTCCTTTGGTTTGTTTCAATGAACCAGGAAAGAAAGGGGTCTCTGTCCTAGTAACGGAGTGCCGCCGCGCTGGTATGGCATTGTGTCGCAGCGCAGCATTACTCGGGTGCCACACGCACCCTGGTTTAATGGTGCCGTGTGGAGGAACTGAAAACGGTGAGCTGGTGTCATAATTTCCCTTGTAACAAGGTTGTCTCGTAGAAGA